GTCATGGCGGCAGCTGCAGTGTCTCTCTGCGTCAGCCTTCCACTTCCCAGAATTCTCCTCTCTCCTTGTCCCACCTACTTCCTGCCTGGCCACTGGCCAACCAGTGTTTTATTTATTGACCAATCAGAGCAATTTGACATACAGACCGTCCCACAGCAAAAACGTGAATGAAAAAAGTGAAAAGGACACAAGCCCTCTGCTCCTGTTTTGCTAAGTCTTATTTTTAGAACACATCGACCTTAGTTTCAATGACTCTTTTGTCTGTTTACTCCATATTGTATTAGTTTCCAGTGTTTTTTGTTGTAGTTTCTTAAAATTCTTGAATCTACTGTCACCTTTGATGTTTCACAGACTTTAACTCACTCTCTCTTCTGTAACCTTATAAAGCCAATAGTGCCCTATGAGGCATGTGTGAGCTGTATCCCAGGGACCTTAGTACATTATGATTTTTGTATTTTCCTATCTTCTTAATTTTAGTAAATAGTTAGAGCAGTTAGAACAGTTGATGAGATGGCAGAGACAGTTCTCATGAACCATGCTCAGTCTCCCTTCTTATGTGATACCACAGTGAGTCTGTAATAGTTAATAACCCGACATTGACTCTCTGTTAAACAGATTGCCCGTTATTAAGATTTCCTTAACTTTACCATCTCGTCTGATCTCAACGTCCACAATACATTCATTTATCCTGTCTCCCTCGGGTGCTGCTGGTCAGGGCAATCTCTCAGTCAGTCATTTTTATGGATAATGACATCTTGGAGGACTGCTTGGCTGGCAGTTTGTAGCCTGTCTGTGGAATCCATCTAATGGTTTTCTCATGATTAGATTGGAGTTATAGGTTTATAGGAAGGAAATCAGAGACAAGGTCCTGTTTCAACCAGACTGTACAGTGGGGACAGGCTGTGGCTAAGAGTTATGACTGTGCATAGTGTCCTTGTTCATGGGCACTGGGTACCACTGGGCTTTCCCCCTGGGGCATCCATTCCTTCCCGGGGGGAAGCTGCCACTCAGGCTATGCTCCTCTTCCTGGAGGCTGGCACATATACCTAAGTTATTGGGAATGCCTTGCGGTGTGAAACATTTATCTATTTTCCCTTATATACTTATTCAATAATTTATTTGTGTCAATATGGATCAGTGAATATGTATTTTATATTTAGATTAAAATCAAAGAATAATTCACACATTCAGTTTTCCAAATTATCTTGCTAGCCTGCAATTTTGTTAATGAAAATCATTTCTAGTAGTGGAATTATTGATCAAAGAGTACACATACCTAACATTTTGGTAAGTGACCATACTGCCCTTCTTCAAAATTATTTCTGTTTTCATTTCCTTCAGGCAAAATGAGAGAACATCTGCTTCTCGGAATCTTTGAGAACTCTGGTGTAAAATTTATTGAAATTCACTAAAAATTACATTATGACTTTAACGTGTTTATTATTTGTTAATTAGACTTAAT